ATTACTTCACCGAGGTCTGTGAGCCTGGATAAGATCCTAGAGTTCCTCCTGTCGTTCGGTGATCAGGGCCTTTGCCACTCATCTATTAGGGTCTATCTGGCAGCCATTTCTGCCTACCACAAAGGATTGGACGGTTATTCGATATTTGCACATCCCATTTCAAAGAAGTTCCTTCAAGGGCTCATGCGGTTGTATCCCCCTGTGAGGGCTCCAACACCATTTTGGGATTTACCCTTGGTGCTCCGCCACCTCACGAGAAAGCCGTTCGAACCTATGGCTTCCTGCGACCTTCAGTACAGTGTATTCTACCAAGACAATGGCAACCTCCACAGCTTTCATGAAGGGCGCATTGCTGTCCTCTATCTGTCGAGCTGCCATGTGGTCCACGCTAACCACGTTAATTAAACATTATGCATTAGACGTTCGTGCACAGAATAAGGTCGATCTGGGTCATCTGGTCTTGTCCTCTGTGGAGCACTGAGCCTGACAGCGCCCACCTCCAGGTGAGCCACTGTTTTTCAATCTCCCATAGGTATGGTGCACAGAGACCACGAAGAAGATAAACAGGTTGCTTATCTGTAACTGATGATCTTCGAGTGGTCATCTGTGCAGTCACACCGCCCGCCCGTCCTTCTCCACTGCTGTTATCCTCAGTCATTTTCCTTACACGACTTTGGTTGATAGTGGTCAGAAGGAACTGGCGGGATGTCCACGCTCCCACCCCCCTGGGCATGCACAGTTGGGGTTCCTGCGCAGGCTCAGGGTGGAGGCATGAAAATCCCGTTGTGAGCTTTGTACAACACCGATCAGGCGCACTAGATCCCATAGGTGTGACTGCACAGATGACCACTCGAAGATCATCAGTTACAGGTAAGCAACCTGTTTTTATTGGAAAGAACCAAAGAAGGTTCCCTATAACCCATTGCATCTCTGAGCAATGACAAAATCAATCACAGTGGATCTCTGAATATTGGATCAGCCACAGCCTGAAGTCTGTATGATTATGTTGCATTGATGCATGAAGCATCCTGTGACTACGGAGTGTTTAGCAGTTGCTCACCCTCCTTGTTCTGTGCTTGCATAAGGAGTCCAGCTGGGATTTAATGGCTTGTGTTATATGGGAGCAGAATGTTATGCCTAGATGTAATAGAGATAGAGCCTTTAATAGAAAGAATGCACCTGAAAAGTCCAAAGCTCACATGCTGTTGTCCTCATTGGCATGTTGCAACATCAGCTGGAACAAGAATTGCAATGGTTGCCTGCTGGCTAGAAGAAGGCAGGGCAGGCAATCTCTGCTCAGATTCTCAGATGTCTTCTGCCAGTGGGTGTTGCCTACAAGTGAGATATTATTTGGTAATTGTGACCATATTTTTTTCACATTACTAGTTACCAGATGTCTCTGATTGAAGTGTTCTAACTATAGGCTCAGTTTTGTCTAGAGGCCTGGGTAGCAGGGAAATGGACCATGTAAACTCTTAGGGTAGAGGTAGGCAACCTCTGGCACACGTGCTAACATAGCCTGGCACTCCATATGATTTTATTTGGTGCTCAGGGCTTGATCTTTGCTCAATCAATCAAGGTACTGCCAGCACTGTTGGGCCAGTGATGTGGGAGAAGACAACAGGCATGGCTTATACCCATTATCACTTCCAGATCTGCACAGCTACTAGTTAAGTCCAAGAGATGCTTGCAGTACCACTAGGGCTCAGCTTGCTCATGTACAGTCATCATATCCCTGCCCCATATTATTTGTTGGCAAGTAGACGCTGCATTTTTATGGCACTTGGACCCAAAAAAGTTGCTTATCCTTGTGTTAAAGCATCTGAAGATTAACCATTCTCTTTCTCAGAACTGACCAAATCTTTATGCTTTATTGTCTGCATATTCAGAGATTAGAAAAAAGTAGTGTCGTATCTGTAGAAGAATATGAATAATTCTTCCATCAGTCGCAACTGAAGCTTCTTTCCTTACTGTAACCCTCCCACAAGAATTTCTTTAATTTTTTATCACTGTTTGAAAGTTGGTTTGTGTGGTGAAGACCAAAACACATTTTGTCTACTGAACACATGCTGGAACTAAGGAAAAGTCCTTAGACATACTCGTGATTTCAGCTCTTAAGACTTTTATTCGGGAAGAACAAGACAACTATGCCTGGCTCGCAGGCCGGTTTATATCCCCGAAAACCCCACACCCAAAACACACCCCACACAAGTAATTGGCTATTTACAGTGGCCGAGAGTTCCATAGGTTCTCGGCCGGGAGCCTAGCCCTCTGATTGGGGCGGGCCAGGATCCGCTAAACCCATTATTCTAAGGAGCGAAGCTCGGAGATTTAGCCTGGCCGCATGGAGCCTTTTTGTGCCACGTGGTCGGCAATAGATACACTACAGGGTATGAGATTTATTTTCACAATGTTTACTCTTCTCCGTAAATACTTTGTCAGTGCGGTCCGCCTAGCCATGTTGTCAGAGTCACAAATCAATAAACCCGTAGTAAGGAAAATGACCCCGCAGTTGTCCCTGGGAATGAAGAGCACTAATTATGTGTGTTTGGTAGCCTAAAGTACCACGATCCAGTTAGCAGCCCCATTGGAGCTTAGAATAATGCATGGGTTTCTTACTTACCACTCCATAACCTGAGAAAGTATAAACACTCCCCTCCATCCCCAAATTGGATAACTACTTATTTCAGACTTCTAGAGAGGAAAATGGGAGCATTGTCAGGGGGGGTGTTTTATTTATTTATTTATTTATTTATTTTATTTAATTTATACCCCGCCCTCCCCGCATGCGGGCTTTAAATATTTATCAGCCCAGTGGATCCAGAAAAATCAGAAGTGCTTGGTGTGAACAAAAATACTAAAAGCCTAAGCAAACTATCCCATTTTAAAGTAGTCTTTAAGACCTAGAAGTACAAAGACATTCTCATTACTGAAAATTATAGGGACAATTAAAACAACCATGTATGCTTCTTTGAAAACTTATTTAATAGCATCAGATGTTGAGAAACAGCCAATCTCACCTTGCTTAGTAGGATATTTGCGGTGTGAATTTTTTTATCCTTAAGTTTTATTTGTTGGTTACTATCTTCATTGTTGTCTTACTGTTTCTGAATAGTTATATTTAAGTGAGTATAGGTGTGTCTTTAAAGAGAGGCTTGGAAACAACTAACCTTAGACTTTACTGTGAGGCCTTCAAGTTAAGACATCTGACTATATCTACAAAAATGTTGACTACCATTTGACTAATACAGAGCAAATATAATGAAAGGAATCCCATTGAAAGAAGGACCAGTTACAATCACAAGGCCAGGTCAGGTACTGAGTATACAAGAACCTAATCATGCTCTCAGTCTCATGTAGACTGCATCCATTTCAGCCTAACAGTGGGGCTGGTGCACCCCTCCGCTGTTAAGCTGAAATAGATGCAAGCCATTTCAGCAATCCCTCTTGCTTCCCCCCCTCCCCACTTCCAAGCCGGGAGGAGCAAAAGGAATCACTGAAATGCCTTGCATCCAGGAGAAATGGAGACCCTTCCTGGGAGATCTCCTCAGCTGGGAGAAAAGTGGGAGTCCCTTCCCAGGAGATCCCCCCCCCTTTCTCCTGGCAGAGGCTCGCCACAGCCAGAAGAAAGGGAGTCCCTTCCCAGGAGATCACACACACACACACACACACACACACACACACACACACTTGCTCCTGACTGAGGCTCGCTGCAGCCAAGAGAAAGGGAGACCCTTCTCAGGAGATCTCCCCACTTTCTCCTGGCCATGGTGGGGATGTCCATGCGGCGGGAAGACCCCATGAACAAAATTGAACCTGGATTTTTCCGGTTCATGCCCACCCCTAGTGCCAAACAGATTGTATCATTTTGTATATTTTTAGAAACTGCTTAAAACAAATAAAGCATCTTAGTCTAGGAGTTTAAAAGTGGAATTTTTAAAAATGCTTGCTTTCCATTATACAAGATTTGAGAAGAAAAACATCTTTAAGCTGTACATAGTAATTCCATTCAAAAATATTTATTACAGACAAAAGCTTTATTTGGGTGAGAGTTCTTTTCACTTTTGTTATATGCCCTATCAGTGCTTTTTATTATTTTTTTTACATGTGACTCACTACCAGATTTCATGAGCTGTTCTGCAACAGTCATGAGAGGCTCATTAGTAATGCCCTGGTGGATGACCTGTGACAGGAAATGGACAGAGGAAGTGGAACCCTATTCTCCTGGACCACTCATAGGTTTTTGATACAATTGATCATGGTATCCATCTAGATTGTTTCAGGATTGGGTCTGGAAGGCACCATTTTGTGGTGGTTTTGGTCCTCCCTTGAACGTAGGTTTCAGAGTGTGATGTGAGGAGGCTATGGCTCACCCCTTGTCCTCTGGCCTTTTGGGTCCTGAAAGGTTCTGTCTTGTCCCCCATGCTTGAAGCCACTGGGAGAGGTCATCTGGAGATTTGGGCTGAGCTCTATTCAGGCCTCCTGCAGATCCCAGAAAGATTATGGAAACTATGAACAGGTGTGTGGAGGCAGTTTTGAGATGGTGAAGGTTAATAAGCTGAAATGCAGCAGAATGTTGACTGGGGTGGATCATAGCAGCCATATCACTCTAATCTTGTTCCATCTATGCTGGCTCCCAATTTGTTTGCAGGCTCAATGCAAGGAACTAGTACTGACATTTAAAGCTCTATATGGCTTGGGGCCAGCATGCATTAAGGACCACTTTTCCCCATATGAATCCACCCATCCACTCAGGTCATGTTTGGGTGTTTTGGGTGCCCCTACTATCTGGGCCCAAATTCACCTAGGCCACACACATGCACACATGAATTTTTCAGACCTTTGGTCAAATGTCCTAGTGACTTTTGCCTTTCAGTGTGTAGACATAAATACATTAGCTGCTGTTGCTGAACAAATATTAAAGAATATTGACATGATTGTGGAAATTAAAACACCTTTGTTGCCCCCTAATTAACACTTGTTAACTTTCTTTTTAAAAGGCTACCTGTGCACTGTCCTTCTTTCTCTTCTCATTCCAAGTGCATGAAAAATCTATTCTTCTAGTTGCAATGTAAGTAGCATTTTAGATACAGAAAATATTTTGCTCCTTGCCTATTGGCATAGGGAATATCTATGTGTGATATGGGCCAATTTTTAAACAGCTGTGCTGATTCAATGGGTCATGGAATTTCACTGAGAATAAGGCTCGAGCCCTCAAAGCCAGAGAACAACTTGCACTGTCCTTTCGGAGGGATTAGCACATCCTTGTAATTCCAGGGTCTTTTTAAAATCCAAAAATGGAGTATAAAATATTTAGAAGGTTGGAATAACTAGACATCTTTATAGCACTTCCTCAGAGAGAGTGTGTGTGAAAGAGCAGCTGGTATTTGCTGCCCAAGGTGGTGACCTTTATGTCCTTGCCTTGTAAAACCAAATCCTGCTTTCAAAAGGGTGATGTTACAGAGTCCCCCTCAGGCTATGGAGTTCTTGCTTTCCTTTCACCAGTGTGGGAAAGTAGGTCGAGAAGTAGAAAGGTTATTGAGAAGTGGGAGAAGAAACAACTAAGTTAGGTAGTTTCCTGATTTATGCCAGTTTGTGGAATATTGGGTACGCTGAAGTCATACACTGTAGAAACCACAAAACTTGGTGCCTGCATCACAGTTCTGTCAAGTTGGAGTTTGGGGGACTTGGTTCCAAAACGAACACTTTTTAAACTTTCTGTTAACCCTCCATAACATACTCCGTTTCAAGATTGCTATTGCATGTGATATGCCATGTGGCCACTGGCAGCAGTTGTATGAATAGAAAAACTCTTCACTAACCCTAATGGGAAGATGCCCAAGTGGTCTCCTGTGGGGGAATATCCACAGTAAGGCTTACTGTAAGAGGTACTCACCACTTGGGTACTCACCAGCTAAAATGTTACTTTGACAATGTTTATGTGCTTCTGTTTTCTCCTTAGACCAGTCTGCTTAGTTATAAACGAAATTCCTTTTATGTCTGTATGGTTTCTGCTTGTTTCAACATTCAGGTGAGTCTTGATGATAATATCTCTAAAGAATTATTTCCATCTTGACTTTACTGAAGACTTTTTAAGGACACATGTTCCTTCATAAGTTGTTTGAAGGGCAGTCTCGAGAGAGCATACGTTCATTACTATGTTTCTCAACAGCATGCTCCCTCTTCTCCTGAAGGATGGCCTACTGCTTTCTTACACTGTGACAACACTGGCCTTTCTTACCGCATGTACAACTTCTTTTTCAATCTTTGAAAAAACTTCTGAAGATGATCTGCAGCTGAAAACATTTTCTGCTTCTGTCAGGAAATACATTCCTTGGCTTAGAACATTTCCAAATGTTATGAAGAGTTCAGTAAGTAATTTATACAAAATTTTCTCCCATCTTCTGTGCGTTAGTTTCCAAAGGGATATGCACTTTAATTCTGCTTCTGTATTTAAATGCAGCACAGGCCATCGTATGGAATTGCTAAGTGCCCCTCCCCTCTGGTTCGATTATTGCCATAAAGCCTACTCTTTGTAAAATTTGCTGCTGGAATATTTAGGCAGAAATAAGAACTTCATAACCATAACCATTAAAAAATGATAAAATGGAATCCACCATCATGCAATAGCATCCCTCCCCATTACTGAAAAGGACAACTTTTGTGCACAACAGATATTAGAAATCCTTTGCTGTCAGAGGTTCTATAGTTACTTAATGTTAGTGTTCGCATCAACCCTGGCAACTAGGGGTTCACAAAAAAACCACGGTATTTTTGTTGGAGTATAGTGAATCCAAAATATATCTTTATTACTCAATATTTCCTAGACGCAAAACCAGTATGGTATTCAGATTCAGGAAATATTCAGGATTCCTGAATTTTTTCCAGTCCAGTGGACCTGAGAAGAAAAACACAAGAGGATCAGCTGGACTAGCGGGAGCTGAGAGCTCTGGGCTGGCTCCTCTTTGCAGCTTGGTTAAAACTGAACTGCAAAATGAAGCCAGCCCCAGCTGAGGCAGCATGGATCTGTCAGCTCCCACTGCCCTGGCCGATCCTGGGCTGCAGCCAGCCCAAGCCGAGTCTTCTCCTTGCAGGCTTGGCTAGGGCTCTGCTGGGCAGCCTGGTTTAAACCGGACTGCCCAACAGAACCCACCCAGGAGCCAATTCTGCAGGGAGAGTTCTGCCTGCAGGCTCTGTTGGTCAGCCAAGTTTAAACCGGACTGCCCAATAGAGCTGCCCCATCCTCCATTGTTTCCATTGGAGGTGGGGGAAAGGCATTTAAAGGGATTGCAGTCCCTTTAAATGCTTTTTGCAAGCCACGAGTGTCCTTTGATTGTAGCTATCCAGCAGTCCTGAAAAATCACAAATATTTTTGGGATTTTTCAGGGTGGCTATTTTCAGATAGCCGAATCAGTAGGGCATTCGGTATGTGGCTGAGTAAATACCCAATAAATACCAATAATGTATTTATTGGGTATTTTTTTGGCTCGGTTTATACTGAGCGCACACCCCTACTGGCGACTGGAACATAAGATGTCATGTTAGAGACACATTGTATTTACTGAAATATCCTCCATAAGGATGATGAAAACAGAGCACCTAAGCAATGAAACTACTTATTGCACATTGTAAATCAGTGGTAACCAGTCTACCTTTTTTCTCTCCTCCTTTCAGTTCCTTGTCTCAATAACTCTGATGGGCACCCTGACTTTAATGAGCGCTACAGTGGATCCTCCACAAAAGCTCCCAGATTTATTTCCAGTAGCTGTCTCAGCTGTATCCTGCTTGCACTTTCTGTTCTTCTTGCTGTATTTTAATGTCATTGCAATATGGGAATTGGGAGATAGCCAAAACCAGAAAAAATCCAATTAGTTCCAAATGCCAACCCACAAACATTACAATTGTTAAGAAACACACACCCTTTTTATTTTTTCTATTGATATAAATTGTATATAATTTGAGGTATTTCAAGTTTTACATTTTTCTTGGAGATGACCAGACAAATGTTTATGTGTCAATTTGTCTTGTTTCTGACTGTCAGGAGATGCTACCGAAGTGTGTTTGAAATGGACTTTCCCTCTATGTATGCAATTAAAGAGCCATAATTTTAGATGCCTTGTGCAAAATGAAAAGGCTACTTCTACCCTGAAAATCATCAAGAATGACTCAGCAACTTGTACCAGTTTGTTTAAATAAAATCTCCCAAATTAATTTAATAGTATCAGTGTATCAATTTAATGTACTCCCAAAAATGAAATGTGACACAGACACAGAACTATATGTAACAGCAGTAACTCATGTCTGTTGCTACTAACTGCTGCCTCTTATAGCCTATTTGATTACATACATTAAACTGCCTTGTACAATATTTCACTAAACTCCATATGATATGCTTAAAATCAAGGCCATTGCACTAATATTCATGACTTGGTGTCATGGTTCATGCTTACATGACAGTCTTATTTCAGCATTAACCTCTATACTAGCTGAAGTCCATAACAAGAGTTCCAAGGTGCAGTGATGGCTAACGTTATTTTTCATATATATATCCTCATGTAGACTTCACTGTGATGGAGATCTGCAAATTTTATAGCCAAAATAAAATGATCAGTCT